GACAAATTTTGACAACGTTTTAACTTCACACGCTCATACACAACAATTGTGGATTCACGCTAAACTTTTTAATTTTCAATAAAAACAGTTTACGTGGAATGTTGTATTAAATCTTATTTGAGTATACTCAAGAATAATAATTTAAAAATCCCATGTACTATACTAGTACCATTCAGAGAGCTCTACTCGTTGGCGCATAAAAATGAACGAGCTCCACGTTTTCGTACTCAAATTTCTCTCAGCTTACGGGCAGATTTAGTGGTGGGAATGCGCGAGATCGGACGAGTTTTGGGCGCCGCCCAATTGCGGTCTTTCGGTGGCCCGAGTATATCATATAGGTGTCAAGTCGCGTAAATTCAGAGTTTTTAAGTTGTCATCAGTCTTTTTACAATTATTAATCAAGAGTTTAAAAATTAGATTATTTATATTACTTTAGCAAACACTATATTATTTTAACTTTATAGTTTTAAACTTTTAACATTATAAAATCCTGCGTCAGTAAATCGCTTAGTTAAGGCGCTCGCGCTGTGCCAATGTAATTTTTGCAGAAAAATATACGCTCTACGGGAATAATGATCCTGTACTGTAGAATCAACCAATTTTTATAATTTTTAGCTAATAGAGTGTAATATTATACAGGAGTAGTATAATTTAGGCGGTTCAAGTCCAACACCCCGACACCCGTAACCGCATCCCGACACCCGCAACCGCACCCCGCAACCGCACCCCTCAAGAACACCACCGGCACATCGCTTATGTGCGCGACATAAAATATTGAAAAAAATAAGCTTTGGAGAGATTTGAACTCTCGATCTCCGTCTTACATTCTGGCGCTTTAACCAACTAAGCCACAAAACCGTAATACTTCTAGAAGGATTCCTAGCGTACATAAACCTATCATTAGAATACGAATCATATATTTATAAATATCCTATACTCACAAACTAGTATCATCTAAAAAATTATTTCTAAGATATCAGTTATCATAATCTAATGTTTATATTTTCGTATAATATGTCGGATCGTGTGACGAGTTTATGTGTTTCGGGTTGGTTTATTGAAAAATATTCGGAATAATAATGTATACTCGCCATAGCTTTACATAAAACTGCAAAAGAAACATTTTTAGGTACTAACAGCTGCGCACACAATACCGCCACCTCGTAAAGGAGCCATCACTTAAAGGATAAAATAGACATCCGTTCGCACGCTAGCCGAACATTATAAAATAATCAATAAATGACTATTATACCTATAGTATACAAATATCGAATAGAAGAAGCATTGTTCGACCAGACAATTTTTTTACTATCATGAAAATTGATGACATCCATGACAATACAATATCCACCTGCGTGACCATATAGGATTATTACATATATTTATGCAAAGCGAATGAGGTTATAATAGATAGGTATTAATACATAGTACATACTTTATAATAATAAGTATAACATGAGTAACATAATAATATTAATAATATTAATTTAATTAATATAGAACAAAACAGGTGGCGAAGAGCCGACGATGGTACATTGCATGAAATAAGTGAGGCAAACTCACACTAACTTGGTACAAACGAGAATGGAGGACACGATAAACGGTTTCAGAATAGTAATAGCGAACCAGGAGTGAGATAACGGTGGGAGAGGAGGGGATGTTTAAAAACCTTTTAAACTCTATAATATACATATTACTGGTCTATCATGTCAATAGAACCACAACAACAAAGGAACCGCCTGACAAATTTCTTCGTCTGGCGCAAAAATGAACGACGAGGACGTGAGTGTCTCGGACTTTCCGGTTTCCGTACATCGCTGGTGACCTGCTGAAACTTTAGATTTGGCGTTGATCGCCACCCAATATCTGCAGCTGTCTCGCCAGCTAATTTTGGATGTATGGGGACGTTTGGCTCAGATACACAGAGCCTGCCATCCAGAAAACCTTTGGAATCAAAATTTTTCGACGATTCCGGTTTTCGTACATCGCTGGTGACCTGCTGAAACTTTAGATTTGGCGTTGATCGCCACCCAATATCTGCAGCTGTCTCGCCAGCTAATTTTGGATGTATGGGGATGTTTGGCTCAGATACACAGAGCCTGCCATCCAGAAAACCTTTGGAATCAAAATTTTTCGACGATTCCGGTTTCCGTACATCGCTGGTAACCTGCTGAAACTTTAGATTTGGCGTTGATCGCCACCCAATATCTGCAGCTGTCTCGCCAGCTAATTTTGAATGTATGGGGATGTTTGGCTCAGATACACAGAGCCTGCCATTCAGAAAACCTTTGGAATCAAAATTTTTCGACGATTCCGGTTTACGTACATCGCTGGTGACCTGCTGAAACTTTAGATTTGGCGTTGATCGATACCCAATATCTGCAGCTGTCTCGCCAGCTAATTTTGGATGTATGGGGATGTTCGGCTCAGATACACAAAGCCTGCCGTCCAGAAAACCTTTGGAAACACAATTTTTCGACGGTTCTGGTCTTCGTATATCATTGGTACGGTTGAACTTCAGATTTAGAGTTGATCGCCATCCAATATCTGTCGATTTGGCTGAGGAATTTTCACACATCGCAGCCATGTTAGTCATAGATACACATCTATATGACATATTTATTTGATAATATTATATAGGCACAATTAACGGAGAAGATTTTACAGAAATACGTAGGAATGAAATGTATCCGTAATGAACACAAGAAATGAATATTGACAAGTGGTAACTATGTGACACAGTATGAATTGTAGATTTTTGAAACATTCACGTACATGGCCACGATATTTTTGTTGTTTGTATAAATCTGAAAGTATCTAGATATTTTAACATAATATGGGTACTATAATTATTTATTAAAATTTTGTTTTTTAGTTATACTGATAAAAAATACAAAACTAAAAGTTCTTGTATTGTTTGAATAAAATCTATGATTTGTAAATTTGGGAAATAATACTACATAATGACCAAAGAAAATTAGAATATACAAATCTAAATTTTCCGGTTCGTGCACCTTTTATTCGACTAAGTTATGGATTTCGATACAAATCAAATTTGGGTCACAACGGCGTCAAAATGTTTTTAGTACAACAAAACTTACGGAGAACGACTGCCGCGCCGCCGCTACTGTAAATATCTTCGATTTGAGGAGGATATAAAATTCTGAGAATCACACGACATAGTGATTATTGTAAGAAACACGATTTAACGGTTTATGTACACTGTCTATACAATATTATATTATGCTATTGTTATCATTATACTAGTATGTAATATCTTGATGACTTCAGGCTTGATAGATACTTTGGTATTTCTCTTTTGGTACCTATATGCCATTATTTGTCATAAATTATAATATTAATTATTAGGTAATAACGAATTATTTACAATAATATACTTCCTAGTATCTAGTATCTACACGTGGACACTCGGTTTCAGCACTATACAGTTAACACGACAAAAGTGTAAAAACACTAAGTTTTTTAGAGCGTACATATCACTTTAGATAATTAAATTATTTTATCAGTCAGAAACTTTCTTATTGTATGTTATAACTTATATGTAGTAGAAGGACGGAATCATAGAAATGTAGCATCAGGTGAGACAGGGACTAAAATTGTGTGTAGTACCACACACTTTGTGTAGTACAAAATACTAAGTGTGGAATATGAAATTAAAAAGTGGGTAATGGCCTGTAATAACTAATAACTTTTTTTACAGTTTTTTCTTGATTAGTTGAAAATTTTTTTTATGTTACACTGGGAATTAGATAGATAAGAATTTTAAATATTAAAAATAATAATTTTATTAGGAGTCGCTCTTGCAAGTTTTACTTATAGATACAATATTTAAAATATTTAAAATATTATAAAAAATAGTGAGAGAGTATGTGAGCCCACAATTGCACTCCGGGGAAGTAAAACTTACGTAATTGGGCCAGTGAAATTAAAAGTGAATTAGAGAGAGAGTGAGCAAAATCAATACAATAAAAAAATATGTAATTTACGATGGACATTTTTGTTTATTAATGGTTGCTATAGACATTATATAAATAAATAAAAGTTTCGTTTCATATTTCGTTACGATTTTTTAAGTAAAACTTGACTTGAGGTGTAGGTGGGGCAAAAAATCTTAACGCAAATTGAAACGACATACTTATACTTGTATTGTCATTTAATCTTCTACAAAACATTCGTTGACTTCTTAAGTTATAAGAAATGGCAAACCTAAAAATATTAAAAAAAAATCTTTTTTTCTGTGTTTAAATTTGTGTATAAGTTTATCAAACCATGACTTTGAATCTTTTTCCTCAAATTTTGTCCTAAATGGAAACGACATCCTTTTATATCAATCAGCTAAATGTTAATTGATATTGTACACAACTATTTACAGTATGTTCAAATAAACGTAAGTATGTTACTATTTCTTTATTACATAGCTCATAAAAAAACACAAGTGGAATATATGACTCTCCGAGGCCGTCAATGGTGAAAAATTGATAAAAATATTTTGGAAATCTTCAGAAAATTCCATCGACAAATAGTGTACTGATACCACATAACACTTCTACATTGATTTTTGTTGAAAACCTAATGATACCAAATTTATTGTTATCATTAAATAATTAAAATTATTCATTTTTATTAGTAACTAATGTAATTTAATTTATAACAGAATGCGTTTCTGTTATGTTTTTTGGTATGTTAGTATGAACAGATGAATTCTTTATATTTCTTTTTGTTAAAGAAGAATCATTTAAAGTTGAGCTATTTATAAGTTTTTAACTGTTTATTTAGTCCGTATAATATTATGTTAGGTGCCGATACATACTGCAAACCGAAATTATAGTTTTCGAATAGTTTTTTTTCAAAAATTATTTAAAATATTCGAATAAAAAATGTATTTGAATACATATATTTGAATACTTTCTAAAACTACGTGTAGGTATATATTATAATAATTAAGTATGATTGAAGACAATAATTATTTTGGTTATCGCCTAAACAACGGATTCCGATATCTCTTGCCAAAGACGTAATCTGTTGCTGTTTATCATTCCTTCGACCATCCGTGTCCTGTCTCCATCTATTGACAGGTATTTTGGATCACTTGCGCTCGCGTTAACCCATTTGAAACTTAAATCCGACGAATTTGGATCACTAAAATCAAACCAAATCGAACGTGTTAATTCACTCCATGTGTTAATATACATCCAGTCACATTGTGACGGAATCATAATATTATTAATAAACTATACGAATTCAACATACCCAGATTTTGCGAAATTGGACCACATCTTACCCATAATCTTACACATTTCGAGTTCCGGAGAGTTGGGTTTTGGAACGACCCCAGATAGTTTACAATGGAACAAATAATTAACATCGTCCTCATGGCATGCGCCTGAATGCGAAATAGAAATTTTTTTTTAATCGTTATTCACTATTCAGTCAATATATTGTTTTGTGTTTGATAGACTATATCAGATATAGTGTGTAACGTGCCCTACAGCGTTACTTGTTGATTTGGAAGCAATAATTGAACAAAACCTCTTTTGATAGTATTTATTGTGTTTATTATATAAAACAGTTTTATAGAAATTATTCTAATTCCAAATAATTAACTAAAAGCGAGTTGTGACTATGAGTATTTAGTGGTGTGACTGTCGAAGTTGAGGTTGGTTGCTCGTCTGATGGACGCTTGTCCATCAGCTCTCCTCGATGGATCTCTGTCCCTTGCCACTTCCATACTTTCTAAGACCATACATGGTCTTGCGGTTAAGCCTATTGTGATTTTCACACGCTTGCACGCGCCGGAAGTCCACATATATCTATATAGCACATTTGTGGTGTTATTCAACAATAATTAATAAATAATTAATAACAGCACAAATCTAACTATATTATTTTAGGATTATCCATATACGTAGTCATATATCTATTGTCGCACGCCGCTCATGGTCACGCGCTCGATATTACTATTATTGATATTATATTATTACTATTCGAAGAAGCGCTCGAGTATAATATTTATATATACGCGGTGCGAATATTATATGATGACGTATACATTATAATGTGTTTAAACCATATGGCAAAATAGTCACAGCTCGCTACACCTCACCGCCCTTTCAAAGGTTTTTGTGGGGCTACAATTTTGTAGAGCTACAAAAAGCTTTAAAAAATTTTTACATAGGTGAAAGTTTACAATTGGTTTACATAAATTACATGGTTCATGAGTTTACAGATACAATATATAAATAATTAATCATTGTCTTATTATGACAATTTACATGATAATTGTTAGTACATTTTTTTTTGATTACTCGTCTAGAGTATTACAATTGATTAAATTGATACAATAATGTTACATATAAAATTTAAATACAGATAAAATATTTGTTAGTAATTTGATTAAGTTAATTGATTAAAATACAATAGTTCCAATACAATATTACTATAATATTTAATGTTATAATAATAAATGTTAGTTTACATATATAGTATTTATTGATTACAATAAAATGTTGGTTAATAGTAATATTTGATTAATAACAATATTTGATTAATAATATTTAAAATTTTAAATTCTCCAATGGTATATTGACCAGTATATATTTTATTTTGTTTACATTCTTACTCAAATATTATCCTCAAGTAGGATTTTCGTGATACTTTTTTACGTCATTATTGCGATTAAAATTATTATTGTTTCGAGGCTGATATTGATTATTGTTGAAATTATTTCTATTAATGTGATTTATATCAGGTCTGTTAAAATTTGGATTTTGATTACTTTGAGGTCTATTATTATTTGGTGCATTATAATTATTATAACGATTAGTGTTATTAAAATTATTATTCCGCCTATTAAAATTGCTGGTATCCCCGTTAGAGTTGTTTTCTTGTCTACCTGAACTATTGCCTCTATAATATTGGTATGCATCTGACTCAGACTTAAATTCAGTTTCTTCATCCTTAGCAATCTGTATAGCTAATTCTAAAGTGGGTGGTTTTTGAGACTTCACGATGGTCTTTAAGCTAGGTATTAACCCTTTTATAAAAACTACCAATGTTTGTTCCTTTAACTGATCGCGTATTGTATTTGCCTGTTCTGTACTTTTACCCTTTGTACTTGCTACACATAGATTGAAATATAACTGTTCTACACGTCTAGCATATGCACCTACATCTTCGTTACCTCTCATACGTACTGAATTTAATGCTACCTGCAATGAAGAAGTGGATTGTTGAGGTTCGAAAGCGTCTAATAAAATTAATTTTATTCCTTCCCAATCACTAGTGTCCCTATATCGACACACATTTAAAGCTTGGTCGAACAACTTGGTATTAATAAATTTCGTGAGAATAGGTAGGTCTTCTTTCTCTACTGCCGAACATGCTAATTCGCAAGCTTTTATGAATTGGTAAACGTCCCGTTCGCCGGTACATGTAGGGATCATGAGGGTGGCTTTATCTAATGGAATCTTTCCTGGCATTTTGGTTTTCTTAGTTCGTTTAACGTGTTCTAATTGCGTATGTACTATCCCTTTCTGCGTACGAGTACCTATCTGTCGCAGCTCAGTTTCGTTTACTATTATCGGTCTTATGCTTGTATTCAATAAATCCTTTTCCCTAATAGCTTCTAAATATTTTTCCCTATCGAAATCTTTGGAATATTGATAACCTTCTTCTGTACTTAAATCAATTAATAATTCCTTATCGTCAACTACTGCTGTTTCTTTAATTAATTCGCTATCCTTATTATTAATAATATCAGATTTAATTAATACGACTTCTCTAACTTCCTGGTCTACTACTTGTATACTTTCAGCTTCGCTTTCTGTTAAACTAGTATTGGTTTCTTTTTGACTCATTAATCAATAGTCATAATCAAGTAATTAAAATTAAATAATCAGATTTAAAATAAATATAGAATTAAGATTTAATTGACACACTAGCGTAAAATAAATTAATCTTACGTAAATAATTATTTCGTTAACTAAAATCTACCTAAATAAAATATCAAATAAATAAATAACTAATCTAACAATTAAATAATAATAGTATAATTATTCCTATTATTAAACAAAAAAAAAAATTTTTTTTTTTTTTTTTACATTAATTCAACTAACCAGTCATACGACATCTATACTTAAATAGTAACTCTCACTAACTGTATTAATTGAATTAAAAAAAAATTTATCAACCTACTCTTTCAATACGTAAGGACTTATTTCGGCCTTATAAAAATAAAATTCAAAAATATAGACTCACTGTCTTCAAATAATTTCACTAATCTCAGGACTTACCACACGGCCTGTAAATAAATTCAATAAAACTCGACTTCACTTGTCGTAATAATTCAAAACACAAAAGGACTTACCACACGGCCTATAAATAAATTCAATAAAACCTCGACTTCACTTGTCGGAAAAAATATAACACAAAAGGACTTACTACACACGGCCTATATAAATTCAATAATTCAATAACTCGACTTCAATTGTCGTAATAATTCACAAAAACTTAGGGCTTACCTCCGGCCTATAAAATCAACATAGACATCAATGTCTTAAATAAATTCAACAAATACAAGGACTTACTTCTCGGCCTTTAAAATAATTTTCCCAAATACAGACAACAATTGTCTAAAATAATTCACAAAATACAAGGACTTACTTCCGGCCTGTTAAATAAAATTATAAAATATAGACATCAATTGTCTCAATAAAATTCACAAAATATAAGGACTTACTTCCCGGCCTTTAAATAAAAATTCCCAATAAATTCTCAATATATTCAACAATAAAGACTCAACTGTCTTAAAATAATTAAAATATTTTTTTATAATAATTCCCAATTTATTATAATATTACACGATCTATTTCAATTAAATATTACTCAAGATTTATGAATTGTTCAACCTAATTTAATTTTAACTATGTATTTATATTTATTTAATAATTAATCAATCACTAAACTCAATCTGAAAAATAAAATTTTGTTCGAATATATATGTTCGCTAAAATATTTAATTTTATTCTATTTCCAAATAATTAAATTTATTTCTAATAAATTGTACGTTATTATTTAATTCAATGTTTCGAACAGCTATTAAATTATTTTATTTAAGTAATTGAAATTTATTTTAAATAAAGTTATTATTTTATTTAATGGTTATTTAATTTTCAAAGTCCTAATAAATAAATTTTTATTTTATTTTAATTAAAGGATTAACATTTATTATTTAAATAAATATTATTTTATTAATTATTTTTTATTTGGTTTGAATGAAATCTATTTAGAATATTTATTTTATTTATTTATTTAACTAATTGAATATTTATTTTAAAATAAACTATTATTTTATTTAACTATTAATTTAAGTCAAGTTCGAATAACTATTATTTTATTTTAATGGAAATTATTTAAAGAGAAAATTAAAAACAAATTATTGTTTTAGTTAACTAAAAAGAATTTAATTTAAGTTTCAAATAATTGTTAAGTTAATTTAATTAAAACGTTTAGGAAAAATTAAAATAATATTATTATTTTATTTTATTTGAATGATTGAAAATTATTTAAAATAGAACTATTATTTAATTTAATTCAAATGAAAATTATTTTAAAATAAAATTCTATTTATTTTATTTAAATGATTAAAATAGTGGTCAAGTGACTAAAATTGTTATTTTATTTATTTAATGATTGTAGAATTATTTTTTAAATTAAATTATATTTTCTATTTTATTCGAATGATTGAAATTTATTTTAGAATTTAATTATTATTTTAACTTATTTAAATGATTGAAAAATTTCTACGAAATTAAATTATTATTTATTATATTAAAAATGTGCTAACTCGCGACGTTATTGTAAAAATAAAATTATTACTCTATTCAATGTTATTTAATTTAAAAAAATAAATTTCAACAACTATTAAATTATTTTATTTAAATATTATTTAATTAAAAGTGTTTAGGATTTTTTTAAGTTACAATATGTTATTATTTTTTATTATTATTTAATTAGACAATAAAAAAAAATTATTTTAAATTAAAACTTCAGTTTATTTAATTATTATTTTATTTTATTATTTTATTTTATTATTATTTTATTATATTTATTAAATATTATTTTATTATTTTATATAATTATTTTAAATCTAAGGTTGAACAATTTTATTTTATTTTTTTAAAAAAAAAAAAAAAAATTTAAAGTTCCTCACAATTTATTTTATTTAACACGAAAAATTCAAAGTTCTCAATAATTCCCTTATTTAATTTAACACGAATAATTTTTTTCACTTATATAATATATACTATGGTCATATAATATACCATAGGAGACGAACAACGATTTAATTACTCTAAATACTCACAACAACACGGCGGGTACTGCGGGTGCTTCCATTTGTTTGGTTGTAATGTTGATTGTAGTAGGGTGTTATGTAGTTGTACAGGATTCTTCTCGGAGTTGTTGGCAGGTGATCAGTCTTCCAACGGTGATCCAGTGATGGATTTCCCTCCTTGATCGAATTTAGAAGATGAAAATTTTTCAAAAAATTTTTCGAAAATTTCGAAAAAAAATTTTTAAAGTGTTCTTCGGGTTTCTTCTAAGTATCTTTTGAGACACCCTGTCCACAGCGCCAATTTGTAACGTGCCCTACAGCGTTACTTGTTGATTTGGAAGCAATAATTGAACAAAACCTCTTTTGATAGTATTTATTGTGTTTATTATATAAAACAGTTTTATAGAAATTATTCTAATTCCAAATAATTAACTAAAAGCGAGTTGTGACTATGAGTATTTAGTGGTGTGACTGTCGAAGTTGAGGTTGGTTGCTCGTCTGATGGACGCTTGTCCATCAGCTCTCCTCGATGGATCTCTGTCCCTTGCCACTTCCATACTTTCTAAGACCATACATGGTCTTGCGGTTAAGCCTATTGTGATTTTCACACGCTTGCACGCGCCGGAAGTCCACATATATCTATATAGCACATTTGTGGTGTTATTCAACAATAATTAATAAATAATTAATAACAGCACAAATCTAACTATATTATTTTAGGATTATCCATATACGTAGTCATATATCTATTGTCGCACGCCGCTCATGGTCACGCGCTCGATATTACTATTATTGATATTATATTATTACTATTCGAAGAAGCGCTCGAGTATAATATTTATATATACGCGGTGCGAATATTATATGATGACGTATACATTATAATGTGTTTAAACCATATGGCAAAATAGTCACAGCTCGCTACAAGTGAAACAAGTTTTAACGTTTATCGATTGGGATAACAATGAATATACTTTTTGACAAAGGTAATTCTATTATAGTAACCTTTAATGGAGTGCCGAAGCACGGGTCTCGTGGCCAAAACCATGTTTTTGACAGCGTTAAGTTTACCGTCGAATTTGAATTCGTATTTGTAAACCGGTACGACGTCTTGTTTCAAGAAATTATTGAAGCTGCGATAGAAGTCTTTGACAAATAATACGTCACTGTGCAGCTGCGTATAGATATAAATATATTATTATTACGTGTCTATAAAATAGTAGTTTTTTACAACAAATAAAAAAAATAATTTAAATGTAAATTTCTTTAATTATCTATCATATTTTATGAATAAAATAGTAATTTACTTATACATATAATTTTCGATTAATTATTACATTATTACTAATACATTGTGCTTACGTGACATATGTGTTCCAATTTTGTTGTTTCAGATTCAATATTACATTTATTGAAATAAAAATCTTTTATTTTAGTTATGACTTCAGTGCTGTACCGATTTTTACACAGTTTTGATATTTCATCTGTTATGCGATCATCAGACCATTGACTTAATCTGTACTCTACATGTGAAAATATTACAGTTGTATTAACATTATTATTTATTAATATTACTATAAACATAACATAAACATTTGTCTTTTTAACTTCCTGGTTCAATTAAAAACGTCTTACATCGAAAAATATTAATTAAACTAGCAAAAAGTAAATCAGTCACTTTTTTATTAATTCTCAATCAATGTAATATATGTTAACGTGTATAATAGTACTGTTATCTATAAAAATATATTTTAAATACTTTTTTTTAAGGGGATTCGATACCGTGATTTTTTGTTTTTGTCTAACCCACGCTCGACATAGTATTTTAGATGTGTTTTTTGCCAAACATACCAATTGATCTAATGAAGCGATAAGAATCTTGAAAACAGATTTGAATTTATCGTCAAGTCTACTTGAAATTGACTTTTTCACATTTTTGATATTATCCTCCAAATTTTTTAAAATGTCATATTCAATAAGAGTATTTAAAAATTCTGTTATTTAAATTTTTGGAGAAGTTAAAATCAAACTCTTGAAGAACTCATCTTTGTTATGTGATTAATGATTATAATATGAATTTTTTTTGTTTATTTTTGTAGGTACCTTTATTTGATTGTATTGCATTATACAAGAATTAGGTATGTTAGGTATAACTATTAACTACTCATAACTAATATTTTTAGTTATTTAAAAAATGTATATTGAGTATGTTCTCAGATGAAATATAATTAAATAATATTAGTTACTTATATTATTTAAACTAGTAAAAATTAAAAATAGTCACTTTTTTTCATTAACTCTCAATCGCAATATAATACGTGTTAAAGTGTATAATAGTACTGTTATCTATAAAATATATTTTTAAATAAGTACTTTTTTTTTTAAATATTATCACTCTTGAAGAACTTATCGCTTCGTATGAGTTATGTGATTATTATATGAAATATTTTTGTTTATTTTTGTAGGTACTTGTATATAATATTTTGATTGCATTGCATTGCGTTATTATACAAGAATTATGTTTGGTATAACTACACACTAATAACTAATATTTATAGTTATTTTAGAAAATATATATTGAGTATGTTCTCAGATGAAATATAATTAAATAATATTAGGTAAGTACTTATATTATTATTAATACCTATAATTTAATTAAAAATATATTTACCATGTAATGCTATTATTCCTTCCATATCGTTAAGTCCAATAATTACGGGTACTGGAGGTGTATCGTTGACTAATTGTTCGGGATGAGCCGGTAAAAATGGATAACTGACAGTGACACTTTCAATAGATGGTACGAACTTGAAACCCAGAAAATTTGTTTCGTCCTTTAAAAATAAATAATAATTAATAATATTATCTATATCTAAATAAACACTTTAATACCTATTTATTTTACCAACAGGGTGGGATCGTTTGAAAAATACGCATACATAAATACCTACCTACCTAAATATTAAAAAACACGTACAATAGTTTTCTTACTTAAAAATTACTTTTCGTTCGAATAGTTATATTATGTTCACTTTATAATTGTATTAATATTGTGATGATTTTTCTATCCATGTGTTAAAAAGTTCCAGTCTTTTCTGAGTTAATTCTGAAACCAGTTCAAGTGTCGGTTCTTTCATTCTTGGTTCCAGTTTCCTATAATTATAATTTTCATCCTCGAAAGTGTTATAAAAATATCATGGTAAACGTAAGCTTCCCAGACTGAAAGATGAAGCGTGAGTTTGGGTAGTTCACCACTGTGTTGAGTCCATGTTACATGTATATCGTACGACGTACATATTTTGACTAATTTACACAACACTGCCCACTGGCATAGTCTAACGAAACCACAGCTCGCCTTTAGCTGTGTCAGTATAGTATCCGTAGCTACGGAATATATCGCGTCTCCAAGTTGCGGATAGGTGGACTCCCGATTCTCTTGACTTCGGTCAAGTCAGGTAGCTCGTGAATAACTAATAGCAAGCCACGGACAGCTGTAAGCAAATGATCCGTGGTAAAAAACCAGCGGTTCCTGGTCTCGGACACGGTCGCGAGAAGGGGCACCGACCCTTTTCGTGGTACCACCAGCCCTCTGGGGGTATACGGGCGAAAGTTCATACCGTTAGCGGGACACGCGTCCCAGTATTAGTCGTAAAGCCACTCTCTCCTAGGACCAATGGGGAACTTTGGATTGTCGCATTTGGTGGCTTGTCCCGTGAAAGCCCCATAAGTCGGTAGACGAAGGCGGTCGTCGAACCATGTCCGGGAGTTTACCAATTGCAGCGCTTAAAATTACCATTTCATGTACCGTTATTACGATATTAACCGTTATTGGTTAAACCGCCATCCGTCGACTGATGCCTCCGTGTCTCTTAACTAGTGATCAGTGCTAATACAAGGTACCTACACGGTTGTAGCTGAAATGACAATCAAACCCGGGAAACTAGTGCCCACTGGCATAGTGGAATTTAGGTAATAAATGCTAATTATTATATTATTATTATTATTATTATTCTATGCTTATAAGCATACATATTAATTAATTGTATTTGTATATTATTATTATATAGATTAATTAATTAAATTTTTATTGTTTGATTAACCTAAAGTCCTAAACATATTAATGTTCTCCACTCGAACCACGTACAGGTACAGTTACAGTACAGTAGGTGTTGAATATTCAGTATTTACATTGTATACTAAACGTTTATATTAATAATAATAATCATAAGTATCATATTACGATCGGTGGGGATTGTCCATCGGTCATTAGCAAGTAGACAATTTTATATGTACGTCAGTTCGTTTTATACTTTTCACAATAAAAGACTATAATATACGTTTGTGTTATTATTCATATTAACAATACACAACAAATTAGCGACGAAGATAAAAGTTTTTAAACTCATCTCATATTAAATTAAAATATTTATAAAATGGGTGAGGATAACAAAAATATTACTCAATTCCATAACATAATAGGTTCACCAGGAACATTTGAATCTGGAAACGACATAACAATATTTGAATCAAGACTTACAAATTTTTTCATTGCAAACGGAATAAGTAACGAAGTCCAGAAGAGAGCTATACTACTATCTTCAATTAGTGAGGAAGTTCACAAAATATTATTCAGTTTATGCGTTCCAGCCAAACCAGACGTTCAGACATACGACACACTATTAGGTTTGTTAAACAATTATTACAAGCCAGTGAAATCGTACTTCGCATCAAGATATGCATTCTACAACGCAAAGCAGAGACCAGACGAAACTGTAGCTGAATGGGGAGCAAGAGTAAAGAACCTAGCATCAAAAAATGTTGGTATGAACGCGGGACCAATTCAAGATCGATTACTAGAGGAAGATGCCTCAAAAATAAGCATCACATATTCGCACCTTATGGAAATTTCTGCTGCAAAAGAATCTACAATCAACAATAAAACCGGATGGATAAAGGAAGAAGCTGACTTCAAATATCAAAAACAAAGTCAGCAAGCAAAATCAGCCAAGCAGTCAATCACGGAAAAATCAAAATGTGGAACATGCGGTCGATCAAACCACACACAAAAAGAATGCCGATACAAGGACTACAGTTGTAATATTTGCAATATCAAAGGTCATTTGGCTCCTATGTGTAAAAGTAAGAACAATAAACCAAAGTATGATAACCGCTCACACAATAAATTTTTATCCGAAAATTCTGGTAATAACACGAATGAAAATATTCATGATGACGCAATCGCGTACAATTTATCTGACACTTTTTTTAATATGATTGAAAATAACTTTCAAAATAAAGTAAAACCGTACATTATCAATTTATTAATTGAAAATAAAGATTTAAAATTTGAAATAGATACGGGGGCTGTGCATAGTGTAATGTCAAAACAATTATATGATACAAGTTTTAATAATTTAACTTTATTACCAAACGATATTTCACTACGCGATTACGTCGGAAATGATATAAGCCCAATAGGAAAATTAATAGTAAATGCTAAATATTTGAAAAAGTCTTTTAAAATGTGCATTTACGTAATACAAAACGGAGGACCGCCATTAATTGGTAGAAATGATTTAAAAATAATAAACTATTCTCCCATTTATAACACTATAAATGTAAATGAAAATATAGAGAATATATTAAAAAATTTCGAGCATTTATTCAAAAATGAAATCGGCACCTTTAATAAATACCAAATATCACTAAACATTAAAAAGGGGGCAATACCCAAGTTTTTCAAGCCAAGGTCAATTCCTTTAGCACTAAAATCTAAGGTAGAGTCGGAAATTGATCGTTTAATAGATAATAATATTTTAACTCCCGTGAACTACAGCGAATGGGCCACTCCAATTGTTCCAATTCTTAAGCCCGACGGTACAGTTAGAATTTGTGGAGATTTCAAAATTACAATCAACCCCGTATTGGAAGGAACTGAGTATCCCTTACCAAAAATAGAACATCTTTATGCGAATATAAGTGGCTCAAAATATTTTTCTAAAATAGATCTCAAAGATGCATATCAACAAATGGTAATTAAAGAGAGTGATCGCAAATACACTACAATAAATACTCACAAAGGCCTATTCAGTTATACTCGAAATCCGTTCGGAATAAAAAGCTCAGCTGGGGAATTCCAAAAAGCCATGGAAATATCAACCACAGGCTTAGAAGGGATTGGTATATTTCAAGACGACATGATAGTTGCGGGAAAAACGGTAGAAGAACACAATAATAGATTAAAAATATTACTTAACGTTTTATCCGAAGTTGGTTTAAGGGTTAAACAAAACAAATGTAGTTTTCTCAAAAATTCAATTGAATATTTAGGTCATAAAATCGATGAGCATGGCTTGCACACCTTAACTAAACACATAAATGCAATACAATCTGCCCTGGTTCCAGAAAATAAAACTATGTTAAAATCATTTTTAGGTTTAGTAACATATTACATTAAATTTGTTCCAAGAGCAGCGGACATTCTTAAACCGTTATACTCATTACTAAGACAAGAAAAAAATGGCTATGGTCACCAGAATGTGATCAAGCATATAATAACATAAAAAAAATGCTTATCTCAAGTCCTGTGTTAGCACATTATGACCAAAAACTTCCCATAAAACTCACGGTCGATTCTTCGTCATACGCACTAGGTGCAATCATATCGCACACTTATCCTGACCACTCAGAAAGACCAATTGCATATGCATCACGAGTATTTTCAAACAGTGAATGCAAATTTCCACAAATCTAAAAAGAAGGTCTAGCCATAATTTTTGGTGTTCAAAAATTTTACGATTATTTATACGGTAGAAAATTTATATTAGTTACTGATCACAAACCGTTAATCCACATATTTGGAGAAAAAAAAGGAATACCAATTTATGCGGCAAATCGCTTACAACGTTGGGCATACGTTCTTTCTTCATTCGATTTTGAAATTAAGTATATTAAATCAGAAGGAAATACTGCTGATTTTTTATCACGCATTAAAACAAACCAATGCAACAATAATATTAATGAATATGACGACGCTCACATTAATTTTATTCACGAACAGTCACCATTTCCGCTAGATTGGCACAAAATTAAAATTGAAACGAAAAGAGATCCAATTACCTCTAGAGTATTACACGCTACAAAAACAGGTTCATGGAGTAATGACTTTTCAATAAATTCCGAATTAAACTCGTATAATACACGCAAAACAGAAATTACTGTTGAACAAGATTGTTTATTTTGGGGCTATAGAGTAATCATACCAACCAAATTCCGTAAGTCAATTCTAACTGAACTGCATTCTTGTCATATTGGCATGTCGAGTATGAAAAGCATTGCGCGTTCGTATTTCTGGTGGCCTAGTATAGATAAAGAAATTGAGGATATGGTCCGAAACTGCAATGAATGCATAAATGCGAGACCTAATCCTCCTAAGTCAGTACTAACTCCGTGGAAATGGCCACAAAGACAATGGACGAGAGTGCATTGCGATTTCTTAGGTCCGTACAAAAACAAAACATTCTTAATTATTGTCGATGCAACCACAAAGTGGCTAGAAGTTTTTCAAGTAAATTCGATGACAGCACAAACGGTCATAACAAAACTGTCTGAGTTAATTGCACGTTTTGGCATTCCCAGAACAATAACAACTGACAATGCAAAATGTTTTAATGGCGATGAATTCCAGTCATATTGCAAGACACTAGGTATCAGGCACTTGACAGGGGCACCTTTCCACCCAGCCTCAAATGGATTTGCCGAATCTGGAGTAAAAATAGTTAAGCAATTTTTTAATAAATGTTCAACATCATTACACCATTTGAATAAATTTTTATTGATGTATAGAAATACTGTACACTCAACCACAAATGAAACGCCAGCAAAACTTATGTTTGGCCGCTCAACACGTACTATTTTTGATTTATTAATCCCAAACACAAATGAAGTAGTTATTAATAACCAAATTACACAAATAAAAAATTCAGGAAAAAGAGATATTAATATAAAAGAGGGTGATTTGGTATTAGTTAAGGATTATCGAAATAAAAATGAAAATTGGCAAAAAGGAAAAATAACAGAAAACATTAGTAAAAACACTCATAAAATCATACTAGACGAGGGTTCTGAATGGATAAGACACACTGATCAGATATGGCCACACAACCAAATAAATAACTCACTGTCGCCTACACCAGCTAGACAAGCAAATGAAAATTCTAAAATTACTGAAACAGTAGGTGAAAATCAAAATCCCGATCCGGCCGATCCCGTAATAGTAAATAAAACACCCAGACCAATTAGATCTAGAAAACCGCCTCAGCGATATTCTCCAAGTGATTATGCTTAGAGCAATAATTGCAATAATTAACTATTAATTATATCAGTTATCATATTATATAATAAATACTCGTATATAAAAAAAAAAAAATAAATAAATAAATAAATACTAACATAGTAACTAAGCACTATACAAAATACTTTATATTTTTTTTAAAGGAAAGAGATGTTGCATATTCAGTATTTACATTGTATACTAAACGTTTATATTAATAATAATAATCATAAGTATCATATTACGATCGGTGGGGATTGTCCATCGGTCATTAGCAAGTAGACAATTTTATATGTACGTCAGTTCGTTTTATACTTTTCACAATAAAAGACTATAATATACGTTTGTGTTATTATTCATATTAACAATACACAACAGTAGGCATTATTATAGTACCTACTTAATATTTTCCTTCGTGTTAATATGCCTAAGTACCTGTGAAGAAACTCATTAAAACGCAATATTTACCAACCTTGAATTTAGTTGCTTTCACCAAATCAATGGCTGGCACATTTCTTAAGTATTTTACTATTTCCTCAGGATCATTACTTAAACATCCTAAATTATTGGCAAACTTAAAGGCCGCAACTCTGTGATTTTCATTAAACGCCCATGGATTAAATACACATCCACTTTGCATAATTGCTTTTTTAAATAAACCTAAAATAAAAACAAATTAAAAATTTTAACGGTTATCATCGTGTTCTGTTATCTAACGTCAATTACAATATTCATATTGATCATAGACATACAATAGAATATACTAGAAATAATACAAAATATGTGAAGCTAACATGACCATATAAATCTGCGAATTCATCAAAGATAATTCTGAGCCCTGAGGTTGTACCAAAGATAATATTGTAACTTAGCATTGGCATATAATAATAGCCCTCTCAATGTCTGTGTCTCTCGCACACAGTATGTTGGCTTCATAGTATTACACTTAAGAATTAAGATATAGCTATATCATTCTTGGTCTATTCTATTATATGCTTATATGGTCTATGGACATTAAAGTATATAATAACATTATATATACGTTATTATATAGTTCAATGTCTATGGATCGAGAATATAATATTAATTTGTTCGGGTATTTTTTAGTAGTTGATATTCGATAAAATATCATATTTGTAAGCGTGATAATATTATGGTTACAAGCTCTTATATTTTAAAATACATAGGTACCTAGGTATTGTTGTACAATTATCAAGTTTTTCCGAGGAGCTTAATATTATGAGTAATGAATTATGACAATTATGTCAATTATTTTTATGTTATATTTTATATGTAGTCGCAATGTTCAAATATTTAAATTTAACCTGTTGATTGTGGTGAAATCGTGTGACAATGAACAGATGCTGCACCAGCGCTTTCACCGAAGATAGTGATATTGTCAGCGTCACCCCCAAACGCAGCTATATTTTCTTTTATCCATTTGATTGCAAATAGTTGATCTTTCAAGCCCATGTTACCAGGACACTCGTTAATATCCAAGTTAAGAAATCCTGAACACAAAATGTAGGTATTATGAATTTCATTAGTTATATTATTATATTGAATTGCCGAGATTAGAGTATTGGATGAGACAACACCTCGGGTGACATAGAACTGGGTGCGCAATAATATTTAACTTAAAATAAACATGAAATCCACTAAATAGAAATAATTGACTATTTCGAACACATAAAATTAATGTGTAAATTTTATTTGAAATTATATATTGTAGGTAATTAAAACATATTTATTTGGCTATATAAGGTATTTAAGATAGTGAAAATAATAATTTTAACCTAAATAATATATTAAATAATACATTTATAAAAATTATATAAAAATATATCACGTATTTTTTTGTATATTTTACATTTACATAATAATTAAAACATAAAACTAAAATAATTTGTATGGCATTACATGATTTATTAAAGTTACATCTAAAATTCCGTAGCCAAATAATTTTCTGAAAATATTTGCTGTACTTATTTAAAAATTAAACGTTTTTGTACGAGAACCTATTCTATTTTAATTACTAGTAGTTATATATTGAATATTGCGGGGGCTGAAGACCCAATGTACTCAAATAGGTATACAGATATAGGTAGGTACTTCGAAAAGTTCGAATACTCATAAGTCGTAACTAACTAACTAATCTTTCAAAAATCGATTCTTAATATATATACAAATTCTATGAAATATATTCTGAATCGGAGTATAAAATGTAAAATGTATGTTGTAAATTAAAAAAAATTATTATTTTTTAAGGAGATGAACTCATTTTTTATTTTAAAAGAAACCCCTTGTATATGTTATAATATATAAATGTGCCGAATAATAATAGTAGGTATTAATTGTGAATTTGTGAATAATCACCTAGAACGTTCAGACGATAATTCAGTGTAACGACAATGACGTTTTCGTCGAGCAAATAATCGGGGGAGTATTCATTTACTGATCCACTGCCATAATTGAAGCCGCCCCCGTGTATGAATATCATAACAGCAAGTTTTCCATTCAATTTGTTCTGCTAATAACAGTGAGTTACGTCGATATTGCATACACATTTAACAAATTATACTATACTATAATATTATATTGTAAGAACTGTTTTTACGACCTGTGGCACCAATACGTTCAGGTACAGACAATCTTCGCTTCCGATGATGTTGTCCGTCATAAAAGCGAACTGCATGCATTTGTCTCCTTCCGAAATAGCTTCTAAAACGCCGGACCATCCCGGGTGTTTAACTGGAGCCTATAAAACCAAATTCTAGAGTATGATTTTAAATACTATCTGCATTAAATATTATCTATAAGCTATATATTCTAAAATTATAAGTTAATTTTAAGTATTCATAATATATAATTAAAAGATAAATATAAGATAAATTAATTTATTATCCGTTTTTATCGCAGCAATTCAATTTAAGAAACATCTTCTGACTGCATCTATAATACTCTATAGTCTATATAATATAAATATAGTCAAACGTGTTCTGACTGACTGACTGATCAAAGTAGGGGAGTATAGAGCCTAATCTATGATAGGTATAGCTAATGGGACTTGACATTTTGACAGCACCTTCGTACCACAGTTTAATGATACACCGTACACTAAGAAAGGATTTTCCAAAATTCGCGTTTTAAACAGGTGATCACACAAGCATTTTGAATTTTAATGATTCACAAATTCACGTTGGACAACAATATTTTTGTCTATAAATGATTGCTATTGGTTATAGATTATAATAGTGCCTAATAGTAAACATTAGTAGAAATTGGTATATTTTTTAGATTCTGAGAGGAGCTAAGAAGCTAGTGGTTTTACAGTGGTGTTTATTATTTTTTTTTTTTATATCCTGTATACAAAATTTCTACCAGAAGGAGTTCTTCGATTTCAACATAATATATAGTACCTAATCTTTTGAAAATTGAATCAGGATGGTACATTAGACGGATAATTTTTTGATTTTCTCAATAGTTATTTAATGCCACGGGAAAAACTACTGACAAATTACGAAAAACCGCTTAAAATGGGATTTTAATTTCTAACGATTTGTGTTTATCATCGTAATTCGTAGCAACGAATAAAAAATTATAATATTACTCGCTGATCCCGTACACTTCGTTGCCCGTTAAAAATACCAACGCTATTTTATAAATAATATGTTTTTCTTATAATATAACGGTTACGATAACAACAATTTTAAACCAATAATTATTATAATTATAGCTTTGAAACCCACGGCAACCATTTATAAACAAACATTTCCATCGGAAATCTCAAAATCCCCGTTTGAGCACGTCCCGGTAGTTGGTCTTCTTTTAAATTAGCCTATCTTTTGCCCAGAGAGCTAACCTATCTCTGTTACAAATGATCCCATGTACTTCGTTACCCGGCAACCAATAAATATTATTATAATAGCTTCAAAACCCATGGTAACCATTTATAAACAAAAATGTCCATAATAGGAAATATCAAAATCCTTGTTTGAGCACCTACCGTGGTTGGTCCTCTCAATTTTTATATTAGATTATCTTCTACCCAGAGGTCTAATCTATCTATAATCTATATATATATATATATGTTACAGTTAAAACCCGAAATCCGTCGAAACTAGTTTTAACTAGTCAAAACTAGTTTCCACAAATCCCTTTAGTCATTTCTGGTTTTAACTAGTTAAAACTAGAATTTACTAAGACCATCACCATCAAAACTAGTTGTATATAAAATATATTGGTGAAAACTAGAATTATCTAGTTAAAATCCTTAATTTGTATATTGATAGGTTAAACTAGTTTTAACTAGGGAAAAGTAGAAATATAAGTACACATTAGAATAATTGTTTGTGCAACACCACCGTTACTCCGCTGGACATCGCGTCGGGTGTCGAACATTCGCGAAGTTGACCCCCCGACCCCCTCCACCACCCTGGATCGCGCCGCGTCGCGCTTCCAGCCGCGGGCTATCGCCGCAAAACCAGTTCTCTCTCGTACGTCCGTCCGTGCTTGGCCGGTCGTGTGTTTCGTTTTGTGTTTTTTCGTACCCGCGCCATATTTGACCGTTGTGTTGTGTTCGTCCCCGGATCCATCCGGAGTACGCGTTTTCTTTCGTTTTACACGCTTACAACCGTTTACACGCCGTTGTGCATACGCGCGTGCTCTCGCATAGTTTTTTAGTCTGTGCTCGGCCGTTTCGACCACGTTTGTGTCAACGCGCCATTCCGGTCCTGTGGTCAGTACCGTCGATTCCGAAAGTCATTCACCGTACGTGTGACTAACCACCGACCGCGTTCTTATTATACTTTGCTCGATTGTCGCGTGGTTGAGTGCGCATTTGCATCCCCGTTCGCCGGTCCCTAGTGGTTCGTGATCGGCCGATTTTGTGTTGTCACGTGGTTTCCCACTGTGCCCGGTTCCCTGCTGTATGCCGTTACGCCGCGAGCGCCGCATCAGGCAAGTGTGCCAATTCGGTTATCGCCGGTGCGTCGATCAGTTCACCAGCCGCCGCCATTGTTGTCCGTTGGCACCAGTGTCGTCAATCATCGTGTCCAGGAGTCAGCTGCTGTCAGTCCAGGCCACTATCACCATCGTTGTGCAGATAAGATTGCTGTTGTTATTGTTATTGTTTATATATATTATTTTGTACATCGCCATTCCCAAATATTAGGTCATTGTAAGATATGATCATATCCCCCTGTGTATCATACTACCTACTGTTTATTATATGTGTCGACAATAATAAGTTGATTCGTGCCACCAGCGCACACCATTCAATCTGTGTACGTCTCATTTTATTTTTGTTTATGATTAGTCTCACAATTAAGGTTACCTACTCCTAGTCACACACAGGTTACTAGATATTCTTACCCGTCGCAAGTGTCGTACGGCCAGCTAACGAGAGGACGTCAATAGCTCCGTCCGGTGCGCATACAATAATTATTATAGGAATTTATTATATTATTTATTTTGACAGGACAAACTGTTGTGGCATTTAGAATTGCATAGTATTTTATTTTTTCTACATAAACAGCGATTTGTTCCGCAGGACGTTTTACATGTGCATCTTACAAAGCCTTGCCCCGACGGCCCGACCCCGTGGATGCTTTTGTTTCGGCTGCACGGAGGGAAATATGATTTTTTGGAACTTGATTCTCTGTGATAAATTTTTCTTCGCATGTTATAAATTCAGATCTGAAACAATTTTTTTCTGATTAGTAACTATTTACTAATTTTATTTTATTTGGTGTATGAAAATGTGATAATGGACGCACCTACAATAAAGTTTTTCTAGAACTCCATCCTTACTTCCGATTCTGTAGAGATCGTGTTCTGTTTTTTCTAACACCACTCCGATGAGATTAGGATGATCTGTTTTGCCTTTGTCAACATCTGGAATGCGGATTACTACGTTGACACCAACATCAACGGCGGGAAATTTTTTTTCTGATCGAGTCATCATTCGGGCTGCCTGTTTTTCCAAATTTCCATGAGCTTCTTTTCTAATTGCACCTATAAAAGAGGTATCTGAAACATATCAAAGAAATAAACCGGAGCACCAAATGTTAAAAAAATGTCTAATAAATGGCTTGCAACTTCTTCTGCACGCTTGGTCTGCAAGGGGCGGAGCAGAACGAATTTTGTCAGATGATCCTGATAATTAAGTATAAACTTAAACTGTGCATCAGGTTGTGACTGCATGTCTATCAAATCTATTTGACATCTACTATTTAATTCAGTGTGCAAAATTGGTTTCGAAACGAGTCCTTTCTTTCCTAGTTTTTTCTTTTTCTGGCACGTTTCACAGAGAGACAAAAAAATATTTATCATGTCAGTAGTAATGTTGGCGTACTTTCTTGAAGTTTCAACCTTCATACGATCTCTCCCTCCATGCCCTACAGCGATATGTGACAAATCAATGACATCAAAAATGTCTTCCATCGGCAAATAATATTTGACTGGCTCTCCGCGGGTTACCAGCTTTTTTGTATCGCCAAATTCCAAAACATTGAATCGCTTGATCCTTCTATATTGAGCAGAGGTTTTTTTAGTGGCTGATATCGCATCCTCAATCTCTTTTAGAAGCGAATCATAAGCATCTTTAGTAATGATATTATAATGATTGTCTTTTTTTCCTTCCACCGATTCCATAAGCTTCTTAAAAAACCGTTCTCGGGTACTCATTTCTCTTTCAGTTTCCAACATGATACCAAAGTATACAGTGACCTTAGAACAATTTTCAAAACCGGCGAATGTCAACGAGAGCGAAAAAAACAACTTCGAACGGGCAATTCAAGACAAAAACACGTAGGTACAACGACTACGACGAACACAATCGCACTGGCGAAACACAGCCGTCGATATAAGCTGACCTTTAGATCAATATCGTATTGTTATTAATATTATTGTAGGTTTAATCTGTCGAAGTTATATCGTATCTAAGTGTTGGACGACTAGTTAAAGTTATCTTAATTGATTTGATAGTCGACCGGTCAAATAATTATCGAGCAATATTTATAGATCGTCTGTGGTCGCGTGAGTTTTATGTAGTACGAGTTTAAATACAATATAATATTATTGTCATGCATTTTAGTTAAAACTAGTTTTTACTGACTTATTTGAACCTGCGGTGAATTCTAGTTTTAACTAGTTAAGACCAGAAATGACTAAAGGGATTTGTGGAAACTAGTTTTGACTAGTTAAAACTAGTTTCGACGGATTTCGGGTTTTAACTGTAACATATATATATATATATAGAAATATCTGATCCCGTGTACTTCGTTGCCCATTAAAATTGCCAACTCTATTTGTATTTATATACAAAACATTCCATCGAAAATTACAAAATAATATATAACTAGTTACCATGGAAATATGGACACACACACACACACACACACACACACACACACATACACATATATATATAGATAATATTAATTCAATTAAGGGCTATAATAAAAAAAAAAATCTAGACTGATAATCCGTCTCCGCTCAGAATCGTTTTTCTTATACAATGATATTATATCATTAATTCTATGCATTTTATATCATTAATTCTATTAGTTCTATATAATTCATTATACATTGACAAACTTGTAACCTACTGTACAGCAGAGCGACATCCACTTACCAGCTTTCTTTTATATAAATGGTTAATACCACTGCAAGTTACATAAAATGAAATGCAAATTTTATTATTTTTTTATTTTTAAAGTGTACAGACTTTAACTTCTAAGACTAATTAGCAGACATTTTTTTTTTAGGTACAGACTAGGCAATAATATACACAATTAATTATTAAAATTACATATTTACAGTTAAAGTATAAGTGTGTAGGTAAGTATAATTAGGTTTTAATGTAACTCAAGTCCACGTTCAAATCTTAATATTTTATATAGATTTTCATAATTAGTATTTTAAAATTAACTGAAAATACATTAAAGATCAAATGTTATTGTAGTTACCTAAGTCAATACAATCTACTTAAGTATATTATCTAGCCATGTTACCCAACAGGCAACATTCACAGAGAAAACATTTTACAAATTAGTTTCCTAGTTATTTTCTAGTTTTTCTAATTTTCTAATGTTAGGTACTGGACTAATTATGCCACCAATTTATTCCTATTTTATCTCTCAATATGTGTGCACAGGAGTTAGGTTCATAAAGCTATACTCAAAACTATCTCCACGATATACCTAATTTATCATTTAAAAAAACAGCATGATGAGTGATTCCCAAGTTCCAAGATCATTAGAATAAAAGATCTGATTTTCACATTTATATAGATATAGGTATTATATAGTTATAACTTATATTATGGCATACGAGTATTATTTTATATCGTAATAAGATGAAGGCTATTTGTCGATTTGTCAAATAATATAATATTATACTGCTTTAAAAAAAATAAATATTTAAAAATTGCTCTAACATACGGTACATCCTAAACTAGCGTTACGGTTTACCCAATAAACGAACATGATATACGCATTTTATTTAAATAATACAGTTACTGTACTCCAAAAATGTATGTACAAAATTGTTTACCTTGAATCTTAAGTCGTCAATGGGTGGTTTAGCGTAGGGTATGCCGAGAAAACTGACATAAGGTTTGTTCGACAAAAGTGTTTTCTTTTGAAGTCCTTGTAGAGCACCATGTTCAAGGACTACGTCCATTGTCACAGGAAATTGTTGTGATCTGAAAAAGAAATGATTTTTATATATTTTTTGTCAGTTTAATGAACTTTTAATACCTACTATATAGGTACCTATACTACCTACGCCCATCGGGCTTATTACTAAAATATATAAATATCTTTGATTTGATCAAATTTGATTTTCGAAAATCTAAATTTATAAGGTGGTACGCCCTCCCTAATCATAAGATTCATGTCAACCTATTTTTACTGTCAATTATCAAACCTACTTATTGTACATAAAAAATTGTAAAGATTGTAGGGATATATCAATAAAAAAAAAAAAAATAAAAAAAAGGATTGGCTCTTAAACGGATTGACCGATTTGGCTGATTTTTGTTTTGTTGTGTTCATAAATTGTCAGGAAAAGGTTCTTATGAAAGAAAATTTCAGGAAAATTCACCGGAAAAGTAGGAAATCTGGATGTCTAAGATACAATGGTGGCGCAATCTGTCCATGAAGAAAATAAACTAAATAATAATATATTTTTGGTCATTTTGAGATTGCTATTGCCTATTGGTTATGATTTACGGTGGAAATTTTGGAAGTAAGTATGTTACTCTTTCACGTAAAAACTACTGAATGGATCTTAATGAAACTTTACAATAATATAGCTTATACATCAGAATAACACATAGGCTAAAAATCACCCCCCTAGGTCCAACCAGCGTATGTGCTGTCGTATATTGTAGACAGTCGTCAAAATATTATTTCATATATGTAATAGAGGTGGGAACTTTTTATTGTAAACCATTGACATAGGTCAGTGAAGCATATGTGCTGAGACAGCGATAAGATTACTATGTAACACCGCCGCATGCGCAGGCACGAGGGGTCCCGTGGTCGCTGAGTGAATCGGCGAGGACGTAGGTACTGTGGTCGTACGTGTGAAACGTCGATCGTAGTACGGGCTAGGCAATCCGAATTTGCTAAGTGTTTCATTTATGTTTGTTTTAATATAATAAAAGTGTTTCCGACCTAAAAACCCGAGTTGAGTTTTATTTCAAAGTCTTCTTCGTTCTTACCTTTAATATTGGAACAGTGCTCAGACCCACACACCTATAGTCAATGAGGTTTATTACAAACTGAACAGTGCTCTGGTTGTGGCGTCCTAATAGTCATTCCAATTTAGGAAACGAACGAAGAACTGACAAAACGCTACCATCGTACCTCAAAGGTTAACAGTGCTAATCTGAATTTATTCTAGAGACAGTCATTAGCCTAGAGCGTACGAGGGTAAGGTATAAAGTTGGTTTACCGCGTATTATCCAATACGGGTGATACCACAGAGTGGCGCCCAACGGGGTTAGTTATCCACGGTCGGAGACATTTTTTTGATTTTTTTTTGTGCCCTGGTACCTCAACCTTGGCAAGTTTAATTTTTTTGAAAGTGTTTACGTACGAGAAGTACAACAGTTTTTACGTGTAGTCTGGGAGAGATTCCCTTGACACACCTATTTTTTTTTTGTACAAGTGAAGTACAACATTTGTGCACGTTTCGGGTAGTAAATCCGGAGCAAGTTTAGTTTTATTTACCTGTTAAAGTGTTAAAGTAAAATAATACTTTTTGTGTGTTTTGGGTGCAGTAGAAACCCAGAACGCAATTTTTGTGCGTGTGTATACCGAGTGAGTAACTCATACGCGTTCGATTTTTGTCTGACCGACAAGACAGCAGTTTTGTGCCGCGTGGTACAATTTCTGCAACCGTGCGTCTACAAGCATACGCCAAGGTGAGCAACGTTTTGTAATATACTTATATTAGGATTATAGATTAGATTTTTCTTAAAACAATTTAAATAGAATTTTAGTTCAATAATTTTTCAAAATTTTTTTTTTCAATTTTAAATAACAGCAAAATTTTAATTTAAGTTTTAAACAAGTAGATTAGGTTTTTTATAGAAACTATTTAAATAGGATTTTTTTTTAGTTCAATTTTTTCTCTCTATTTCTTTTTTTTCTTTTCAAAATTTTTATTCGATATAATTATAACCGCAAAAATATATTAATTTAAGTGATATACTTATGTAATTATATTAGGATTGTAGATTAGTTTCATTATAAATTTAAATAGGATTTTTTTTAAATGTTTATTCAATATTAAATAACCACAAAAATATTTTAATTTAAGTTTCAAACTGTTGAAAAATTAATTATTTAAGTGTTAATTAAGTAAAATAAATTTTATTATGATATGAATGACGAACATCTTATAGCTTTGGGAAAAAAAATTACAAAATTAACCGATATTTATATACAAAAGAAACCAGATCTTATTGAATTATGCAAATCTAAACAATTAAAAAGTGTAGGAACCGTAGATAACCTAAGGGCTAGATTATCTAGATACTATAAGGGGATCGTAGAATTAGGCGACATCGAAGAAACTTTAAGTGATCTACAAAAACTCAAAGTTCAAAAGGATTCAATAGAAGATAGAATTGATATTACAGAATTACTCACACAGAGCAATTTAAGTGATTCAAGCCCAGAAACGAGTAATAGCGCTATAAATAGACCAAAAACAATTAATAACGACCTTTTAAATAATTTATCCAAAGATTTAGAAGAAAACGCAAACAAATTAATAATCCAAGCAGAAAAAATTGAAAACCTTAGTAGTAATTTATATCAAAACGATTCAGTACAAGCCCCTAATAATAGTTATAATAATTTAATAAACTTAGATCCTAACGAATCTACAAAGGTAGAACACATATACGAAGATATCATAAGTCCAATAAAAACTGATTCAGATTTAAATACCACTTTCTTTAGCAACTCAAAATTCGTAATAGACAATACACCTGAAAAATTAAATATATTGGAAAATAAAAATCCAAAACACAAAATGGAAAAAATGATAGTAAAACCAGATAGTTTTTCCGGACAAGGCGACATAAAAACTTTCATCAGACAATACGAAAAGGCAGCACAGATCAACAATTGGAACGACGACGAAAAAATTAAGTTCCTATCAATATTTTTGAAAGAAACTGCTAACAA